CCTCTCCCTACTCTACATGTACTGCGAGTCTGTCTATCCCCAGTCCCACTCAATCAGACCAGCCCCTGCCACCTGTGCTTCCTGCCTTTGCCCAGTGGTTGGGGGAAGGACCCCAGAGGGGAGGAAACATTTTTGTATCATGATGTAGCATTGTGGCAACTCAGGGGGGGGCCACGATGATGCAAGTAAAGGAGAGGCTTTTACAAAAAGCTCTGCCTTAGATAATAGCCCCACCCAGCCCAGGGAACACAGCTCTGGGATGGCGAGAGTAGCTGGGAGAGGTCCCTGGGGCTGCTCTCCTATGCAGTCTTGCAGGGACCCTGACTTGGGGAACACCTACCTCTGTATCGCCCTGCTCCAGGCTCAACTTCCCGGAATGTCAAGGACCAAAGCAGCAAAGTGGGATGGTCATTCGCAAACCTGCCCTTTGACAAAGTACTTGCACATGCGTTATTCATTAAGCACTCACAACAGCCCTGAGGGAAAGACATGCCGTTTTTCAGATGGAGAAACTAAAGTCAGAGAGGTTATAAGTAGCGCGAGGAGCAGGGTCTAGCCTGGAACATTCCCCAACTCCAACCCAGCCACCACCGCCGCCAATACCCCTTCAGATGTGAAGGCCACTGTATTGTCTGTCCCCAAGCCAAGCTGATTTCAACCTCTGCAAATTGGGGGTGACCCCACGCAGTGTCCAGATTACTATGTCCAGCTAGTTCTGGAGGTGGGAAGAGACAAGCCAGGAAGGAAAAGGAGGGTGAGCCCTCAGTCTGTGTCAAGGGCCGTGGGGGAAGGGGAGAAATTGTTGGCAGCCCCTTCCCACTGTGCTCCTACACTGAGCAACACTTCGGGCCAGGAACCAGGCTCACGGTGCTAGGTAAGACGATGGCTCCAGGTAGGAGGGAGGGTGGGCTGCTCGGCCTGGACGAGCCCCTGAACCCTGGCCCTCCAGGGAGTGGGCGCTGGACCCTTTGGGCCCCTCGTCGGGGAAGGCGGGGTTTGCGCCCGGGGCCCCAGGGCTGTGCGAACACCGGACAGCTGTACTTTGGGAACGGTTCCAAGCTGACCGTGCTGGGTAAGGACTTGAGCTGGGGGTCCCGGAGCGCTGCGTGGCGCGGGATGGAGAAAGGGGAGCAGCAGCTAGCTACCCAGCTCGGTTCCGAGCTGTGCTCAGAGGCGGGGCGGCCCCCGGGCCGGGGCTCCGGGTTCTGGGCGCTGGGAGCACCCAGGGTTGGCTGGGTACCTGGCTGAGTCCGTGACGGCAGCAGAGGGCAGCGCCGGGTTTTTGTCCTGGGCCTCGGTGCTGTGAGCGCAGAAACTCAGCATTTCGGCGCAGGCACCCGGCTGACGGTGCTAGGTAAGCGGGGACACCCGCCAGGGACGCGCAGCGGGTTTTTGTGCGGGGCTCGCGGGCCGTGACTGGGCAGACACAGTCCTTCGGGAACGGCACGCGGCTCCTGGTGCTGGGTGAGCGGCGCGNCTTCCTGCCAATAGTGTCCTATCAGCAAGGGGTCCTGTCTGCCACCATCCTGTATGAGATCCTGCTGGGGAAGGCCACCCTGTATGCAGTGCTGGTCAGCGCCCTGGTGCTGATGGCCATGGTAAGGGGATAGGAGGACGGCAGGGTGGGCAGATGGGTTGGAGGTGACACTTGAAACACAGAAACTTGGAGCCAGGATCATGGAGACCCTGACCAGACCAGAGGTGGGCAAGGAGAAAGAGGGGGTGGCCCACATGCCTCAGCAGACACCTCACCTCTGGGATTGCTATGGGAGAGCCAGGGAGGAAAGAGAAGCTGGGGTCACCTGAAACCCAACGGAGGTTTCAAGGAGCCTTGTTCATCCAGCCAGTGGGCCAGTCTGCTCCCTCTCAATCCCCACCACCTGTGGTAACCCGAAAAACCTTCTCTTCTTCAGGTCAAGAGAAAGGATTCCTGAAGCCAGCTCAGAGGTGGAGCCAGGAACTTCCAGCCAACGGGGGTTCTACTTTTTCCATTCCTAGCCAGTGCTTCTCAAGAGCTGTTCTCCTCTCTCTGCTCATCCCTGATATCTATCCCCTATGAGCTTGCACAACTGCACACTCACGACCGCACTCTCTCTAACCCCAAAGGGACCCTGCTGTGCCTAACTTGACTGAACCAATAAAAATGGCCTGTTCTGGCTTGATTCTGCCTTGAGTGTCTCCATATCTCTTCTGCTTGTCTCTGAACTCTCATCGACTCCAATTAGGATAGAAACAAGAGGTTGTCAAGAAAAGTACAGTCCCCTCAGGTACCCAGGGGCCTAGCCTGTGACTGGCATTGGTTTTCCTTATTGGGAATTAAAGTACCTGTGAAAGGTGGTGATAGGAGATGAAGAGGTTTACTCCGGGACAGCCTAGAAAAATGGTGATGTTGACCATAAGAATGTTCTGTCCTACCTGGACAAAGGTGCTCTGAG